GACCAGTATGCAGAATTGGGTAGGATGTGATGCTATCTGGTCACCTCTCATGCTTTTCTTGTCCATTTTGAGTGAAATTTTAGAAAGCAGGATATAGGGCTTGAATCATACTGGGCAAACCATGACCAGGGACTATGTAGACAGTGGGAGACAGAATTGTCCTCTGGAACCTTGACCATGTTACCAGTAATCACTTTAAAACTCTTGGGCAATTTGGAAAATTTTTTCTCTTCCATCATCCACACTCTTATATCCCTTTGTGTGCATAATCTTATCATTGTTGCACATGGAAACTGTTCAATATAAATCTCAAAGGGTGTTTTTGGTTCTCATCCCAGCAGCTTCTGTTAGAACAAATGAACATCATATAGACAAAATTACACCATGCGAGTAAGCGATTTAAAAATAATATATATATATATTGATTTCAGAAAGGGAGGGAGCAGGAGAGAGAGATAGAAACATCAATGATCAAAGAGAATCATCAATCAGCTGCCTCCTGCAGAATCCACACTGGCGATCGAGCTCACAACCAGGGCTTGCGCCCTAACTGGTAATCAAATCAAGTGAGAATTAAGGGATTTGTATTGATCACAAAGTAGTTCTTAGTATCAGTTCCCCAAACTTACTGATTTTGACTGATAACTCCACTTTAGGGACCTATAACTTTAGGGAAAAAAATAAAGAAAAGGAAATTAAAACACTAGAATATCTCACTGTTGAAAAAGCTCTGATATAAAATCATTGGAGTATAATGTTCTTTTAAAAATGACAGGTGCGATTTGTAAAGTATATGATTGTCTAACCACTGTGCTGTACACCTGAAACTAATACAAAATATTATTGAATGTAAGCTGGAATTGAAAAATAGAACTGAAAAACTATGCGAGGTGTGACATTATGGGCTTAAAATACTTGTAAAAAACATCTAACTCACAAACCTATCATCGGGCATGCATAATGATTACTTGAACTCTGGACACTAGGAAATATCAAAAGAGATCATCTTCTTTATTTTGGCAAAGGGGTTCATTGTGTTTTGTTTTGGCTGTTAATTTTGTTATTTCCCGACCAGTGTGGCTCAGTGTTTGAGCATAGACCTAAGAACCAGAAAGTCACAGTTTGATTACTGGTCAGGGCACATGCCCTGGTTGTGGGCTTGATCCCAAGTATGGGGTATGCAAGAGGCAGTTGATCAATGATTCTGTCTCATCATTGATGTTTCTTTCTTTCTTTTTTTTTTTAAATATATACTTTATTGATTTTTTTACAGAGAGGAAGGGAGAGGGATAGAGAGTTAGAAACATCGATGAGAGAGAAACATCGATCAGCTGCCTCCTGCACACCCCCCACTGTGGATGTGCCTGCAACTAAGGTACATGCCCTTGACCGGAATCGAACCTGGGACCTTTCAGTCCGCAGGCTGACGCTCTATCCACTGAGCCAAACAGGTTAGGGCATCATTGATGTTTCTATCTCTTTCCCTCACCCTTTTTTCTCTGAAATCACTAAAAATACATTTTAAAAGAATTTGTTATTAAAACCACTCGCTGCCCCCACAAAGATGGAGATGCTGACTGGATAGGTTGGCCTGTTTGGCCTGCATTATCTCCTGTGAATTATCTCATTATGGTTTAAAAAAAATTTTTTTTTAAATTTAAATTCTTATTTTTTAAAGTATTACACGAGTCTCCTTTTCCCCCCATTGACCTCTCCCGGCTGCTCCCACCCCCCAGCTCATGCCCTCATCCCCTCCTGTCTGAGTCCATTGGTTATGCTCATGCTTGCATACAAGTCCTTTGGTTGATCTCTTACTCCCTCACCCCGCGCCTTCCCTCTTGGGTTGGACAGTCTGTTCGATGTTTCTATGTCTCTGGTTCTATTTTTGTTCATCAGTTTATGTTGTTCATTATACTCCACAAATGAGTGAGGTCATGTGATACTTATCATTCTGACTGGCTTATTTCGCTTAACATAATACTCTCCAGTTCCATCCATGGTGTTGCAAATGGTAAGAATTCCTTCTTTTTTACAGCAGCAAAGTATTCCACTGTGTAGATGTACCACAGTTTTCTATTCCACTCATCTGCTGATGGGCATTTAGGCTGTTTCCAAATCTTAGCTATTGTAATTGTAAATTGTGCTGCTATGAACATAGGGGTGCATATATCCTTTCTGATTGGTGTTTCTGTTTTCTTGGGATATATTCCTAGAAGTGGGATTGCTGGGTCAAATGGAAGTTCCATTTTTAATTTTTTTTTTAGAAAATTCCATATTATTTTCCACAGTGGCTGCACCAGTCCGCATTCCCACCAGCAGTACAAGAAGGTTCCTTTTTCTCCTCATCCTCACCAGCACTGTCATTTGTTGATTTGTTGATAGCCATTCTGACAGGTGTGAGGTGGTACCAAATTGCTGTTGTGATTTGGATCTCTCAGATGATTAGTGACTTTGAGCATGTTTTCATATGTCTCTTGGCCTTCTGTATGTCCTCTTTCGAAAAGTGTCTAGGTCCTTTGCCCTTTTTTTAAAAAAATATAAATCGAATTTTATTTTTTTCCATGCAATAAACATTAATATTTCAAGCCAAAAAGAAAAGATTTTAGAGCCCAAGCTGGTTTGGCTTAGTGGATAGCCTTGGCCTGTGGACTAAAGGGTCCCTCTGTTTTCTTGGGATATATTCCTAGAAGTGGGATTGCTGGGTCAAATGGAAGTTCCATTTTTAATTTTTTTTTTAGAAAATTCCATATTATTTTCCACAGTGGCTGCACCAGTCCGCATTCCCACCAGCAGTACAAGAAGGTTCCTTTTTCTCCTCATCCTCACCAGCACTGTCATTTGTTGATTTGTTGATAGCCATTCTGACAGGTGTGAGGTGGTACCAAATTGCTGTTGTGATTTGGATCTCTCAGATGATTAGTGACTTTGAGCATGTTTTCATATGTCTCTTG